GCAGGAATATGCAAGTTATCAGATTAGATTATTGGTTTTCATTTATGTATGCATGCTAAAGGGAACTTACTGAATAAAAAGCCAGGCAAACAGATTAAATTTTGCATTTAGTTCTGAGTGTATTAGGACTTGTACATTTTCTTTCTAATAGCAGAATTCAATCATTTGAATCCTGTGCCTATAGTTTTTCTGTACCAACAGGCTGCCGCTTTACATAAGGTGTTTCAACTTACGTTAAGTTCAGTACCGTGCACTGTAATTACTGCATTGCCGATAACACTAGTTGTTTACCACAGAGTGGTAAGTTCCAGCATGCTGGTTGTAGTGCATTACTGAGTAGTTAACCAGCCTGGCATACAGTGTCTGACTTGGCAAATTTCTAATGTCTTCTACAGACAGTTTTTATGAATTCTGCTTATAAAGCTGTCCTGGTAACAGAGCTAACTGTCAAAATTGCTAATAACTCGTGATTAGTTGAGTTTTCTGAATGTTTTGCTGTCAAGAAAAAACATTCTTAGTGTTTAAAAATTTGACTTTGTTGCTACAGAAAATGGCAGAATGTGGGAAGGACTGTACCAAAAGCTATGCTTTTCTAACAGCTTCTTTTAGACGAGGTCTATCCACCTGGTGGCCTGCAGGTTGCAGAAGCCCACAAGGGATACATTTTGTGGCACCAGGGCTAGTGCTGCTGGCACTCCACTCACTGCTCCAGCTGAAGCAGCAGCAGCCAAGTGCTCCCATCTCACACCCCCTCCCTCTGGCTCCCACTTCCTACCCCTGCCCTGGGGACAGTGTGGTACAGCTCACAGCCCAGGTAGACCACAGCTGGGGAGTTGAGGGTGAGGCTGGGGTATCAGCACGCATGGAACAGGGTGATGGGAAGAGGAGGAGTGCTCACTCAAAGTATTACAAAGTGGGTATAGGTGGCACGCAGCCTGTAGTTCACACTAGTGTACTCCACATTGGCAGCTCTGATTTGCATAAAGATCCTGGTGCACTGGACATGTCTACTTTGTGTGCACAACCTTCAGCTGCTTTTTTTCTTTTTACTTTTCCATTCATGATCCATGTGTGAGGAATACAAATTCAGATCTAACTTCTAAAAAACAGTGTAGGTGTCAATCAGCTGTTAGATAAAATTGCCAAAAAAAGCACCCGATCTATACAGATGCTACAGAGCCTGGTCCAACTGACACACTTCCTCTGCTGGGCACATGTGGGGCTGGGCACAGGAGTGTGCTGAGTTTTAAAGTGTGGTTTTTGTTGTTGTTGTTTTTGTTCATGGCTGCAAGCAGCCTACATATCCAGGACAGATCAGTAATGAAGAAACTTATTTAACTGCTTCAGCCCCCCACTTATCTGCAATAGGTATCTAGCAAAGTTTCTTATAGGACACACATGACATGTCATCCTGCATTATTAAATTTTGCCACTGGGTTCCTTTTTTATCCCTAGAATAATTGTCTGAGATACTCCTGGATATGAGGCAGACTGACTTTCATGATCATCTTCCTATATGAACTGTGGGTTAATACATGAGTGGATGCTCAATTGTTAACACTGTTGAGAATTTTCCACTTAATTAAATATGAACAGAGCTGAAAGTCCAGTTCAAAAAATTAGCTCCTAGACAGTATTAAGCTATGATTCAGCTCCTCCATACAAGCTTTTAGAAAGGGCTTGTGAATCCTGTTCACTGCTGTATGCACTTTTTTTTTTTCATACTGATGTGGAGAAAACAATGCTGGAGAGTATGGCCCATACCACTGCACTGATAGCAGCAGCTAAATGAAACAAGTTTCATAATTGCAGTGTTGCTTCACTTCTGCTGGGGAAACTACCACTGTGAGGGAACATTACTTTTCTCTTTCAGATGCAGACAAGGGAAGAATCTTAGTAGCAGCACATGTGAAGTCAGGACTAACAGCTTCTGCTACTGCAGTTCAATACAGATGCACTTTATCTACCCTAGGGGGAAAAAATGCCATGGGTAACTGGTGTCAGAAACAGCTGCAGCTTAATCAGTGCCAGTTTTTAACTGCAAATGTACCAAAGAACAAACTGTATTTATAACTGTTTCAAAGAATTCAGTTAAAATTTTCTACCTGGCAAGTAAGTCAGTACCAGTAGAACTGCACCTGTTGTCAACAATGGATATTTTATATACTGCAAACAAGGCTACAGGAAGTCAGTGCTAACATTCCTGTGCTTTACATATTTAGTTCCTACAACTTCATCAAGTGTCTCTAGCCATGCTTGTTGATCTAAATTGGGATATTACAAAAGTGTCTCAATATATGAACGATATGCACTTAGTCTTTCACATAAACAAAAAAAGTACCACTATCGCTCTCTACTTCTGAAATAAATTATTTTTTTCTTTTTCCCCACAGGGAGCTATGAGGCCGACTTGAAGTGCTAACACAGCAGCTAACACTCAGGGAAGGCTCTAATCCTTTGGCCCCCTCTGCCTAGACATCTGTTCGTGGACTGTGGCTTTTGCCGAACAAGTAAGTTGGTTAAAAAAATATATGTATCAAAGTATAAATCTGTTATCCAGTTGGATAAAACTAAATTTATGTGATACATGCATGGGTGGGTCAGAGATCTAACAGTGCTCTTGGATTACCGCTGTCCAAGGATGAGTCTGTGGGATGTAAATGTCCAGCCAGCATCATTTTAAGATTCTTCCCCTTTGGTTTCAATAGCTGGTGCCTTCCATAAAGTACCCTGACATTCTGGCTCTGGGATAACATATTCATTTTTTTCCAACTCTGCAACCCCCTCGACCCCAATGTAAATCTGCACCCTTGCCCTCTTGAATTTGCTGACCCCCAGTAACTCATTCCAAGTAGCAAGGTTAGTGGAGTCCCCGTGGTTCAGTGATGGCGTTCTTGCCTACCAAACAGGAAACCCAGGTTCAGTTCCCAGATGCTTATATACCTACAGCCATGGAGGCTCCAAACATCAGTTTGGCCTTTGGATTCTGTCTCGGTGACCTGGGGGGGGGTGGTCTGGGCAGCCACCACTCCTCCAGAACTCCTGTGCCTAGGCATATGCGTCAAAGGTCTGGGTAACCTCATGTATACACTGTGATCTGGAAGGATCAACGGTTGCCAAAGCAAGGTTTGTTATCTCCATCATCTCCAACTAGAGTAGGGTTTTTGGTTGCAGCCATGTTGGTCTAAGGACACAGGCAGTCAAGGTACTTTGGTTAGATGTGATATCTTTTATTAGACCAACTGAGTTCATACTTCAGGAAACTGTGTCCTTTTTCAGGCCCCTTTGCTCTATGGTCCTCTTGGTTAATTGAGACCTTACAGACAATTAAGGTCAAGTCTCTCCATAAAATGCTATTTAGGCAGATGCTCAGAAGCCAACAATCAAAATGAAACTAAAATGGGTATAAAATAAAATAAGATAGGTATATGCAACTAAACTAAATACTATTATAATATATTTTCAATTAATCTTCCAGCTCTGGAGTGAGGACATAATCAAAGCAATTATCTTGCTCCTCACTTTTTTTGTGTGTGTTTAAGATTCAAACAAAATAAAAATACCTTTAACAACCATCATGGTTTTAAGACTGGTGTGGTCTTGGCCGGACCAGGATTAATTTTAAATAGAAGACATCTCTTTCTGAAAGCCTTTGGACATGACTAAAATAACTTGAGGAAAAAAAAAAGTTACTGCCACCCTGTGTATTGTTCAATGAAGTAGAGGGAAGCAAACCCTCAATACTGTACGCTCCTGCTCGATTATAGATTTGAGAGGTAAGCAGCTGTGGTTTTGTAATCTGCATACAAGTCTAACCCCACCTTCTTTCATCAAAGAACAAAATGCTTACTCATTTTCATGAGCTAAAGTAAACAGTATCTTGCATTAATTCCTTTTTTGCTTCACCACAGAAAAAATAGAGAACTACCCAAGAAACCACTCAAAAAAACAACAAACAAAAAACCAGCAGAACAAGCTGAGAAAGTTTGAGCGTTGTCTTTTGCTGTGAAGGTTCCAGTAGCTTTGAAAGACTTTCTTTACAGTCATTGCCAGCCAGTGCTTGACAAACCCGAATTTGATCTCAAAGAAAGCAGGGAGCAGATTTAAATCGGAGACAGTCTGTGTTTCCTGAATGGATTGTTTTAAAGATTTGCCGGTGTGTGAATGAATAGGCTCAACCAATCCTAACTTGGGGCCCTTCTCCCAATCCCAGTCCCTGGGGATTCAAAGACAAGAGAGCAGCCAGGGGTCCTGGTGCTCGGGGAGATCTGTGGAGTGGGAATTACATCAGTGTGGAGAATGCAGGGGGATAAAACGCCCTTCTAGTTCTCACAAGGCAACTTCAGGCAGCAGTTCAGAAGGCGGCACATGGCCCCACAGATGTTTAGCAGGGGCCTGTGCAACATGCCTGTAACACTCCACTACCACCCTTGACCTCGTAGGGATTTTAACCCCTGGACCAAAGTACTGAGGAAGGGGCGGGTTTTTCATTGCTCGATTTCTTCCCATGGCCCCTGGGGGCTGCTGGGGAACACAGGCTTCAGCCCAGGGAGTCTCAAGTAGGTGCTGCTCACCACGCCCTGCCTGCTCCTTGCAAGGGCACCTGTCGCAGGCGTCGCTGACAGGAGAAATAACCCCCGGCTTCCAAACACCAGCAGGACCGTCCTGCACGGAGGTCTAGGCAACAGTGACGTTGCTCTGGTGCTTTTTTGCCCTCAAATAATAAAAAAGGGGGGGAGGAAGGAGAGCAGTTGTTTTCCCAGGATCTCTGCCCCCCTTTTTAATATTTTATATATATGTACACACACACACACACACACACACACACACACACACACACACACACACACACACACACACACTTAAAGGGCAGGGGGGTGACCTATGGCTTGAGTCCCGCAGGCTGCTGGGCTGCACGCCCGGCTAGTGCTGAGGACCTGCTTGCATGTGGGCGTAGCCCCCCCGCATATCCAAGACAGTCGGAGTCGGCACCAGGCCCGACCCCCGCAGGCCTTGGACCGCCCCGCCCAAGATTCACTTCCCCCCCACTTTGTTGGAGATGGTTCGGTCCGCTCCCGCTGTGAGCGCGCCCGGATTCGCCCACTCAGCCGCAGGGTGGGGGAAGGGAGGAACCACCGCCTCAGGGTGGGGGGGAGTGGGAACAGGCTCAGTGTGGGGGGTGGGGTTGCGCGGGACGCACTCGCCCCCTCACCGTGGAAGTCGCCGGTGTCGGCCACCACCGTGGTGTGGTGCTTGAGCTGCTCCAGCACCGACTCCATCTTCGGCCGCTTCACGGGTGACACGGACATAGCGGGGGGGCTCGGGCCGGCGTCCGTAAAGCGGGGAAGGAAGTTCCGCGCGCGCCGCCAGCCGGACTCCACACGTGGCCCCTCCCCCCGCGACCGCGCCCAGGCCCAATCACGGCCGAGAATGGGGGGGGAGGGCGAAGACCAATCGGCGGCCAGCTTGGGCCCAGCGAAGCAGCCAATCAGAGGCCGGGGGAGGCTCCTGATTGCGTGGGTGGTGCGTGAGCCTTCAGGCTGTTCCTGTCTCGGGGGGCGGGGCTGTAGGTCTCTTCCCGCCCAGGCACGTGGAGGGAGTGTTGGGTCAAAGACTGAGAGAGCCCCACCTCCCTTGGGACCCCATTCCAGAGCCTGCCAGCCCTGACTGTAAAGTAATGTCTCCTGATGTGCAGCCTGAACCTTCTCTCTAACAATTTGTGGCCGTTATTCCTAGGAACCCCGGGTGGTGCCCGGGGGAACAGAGCCTACCCCAGTTCCCACTGGTCCCCCCTGTGAGCTTGTAAACGGCCACCAGATCCCCTCTCAGCCTTCTCTTGTGGAGGCTGAATAGGGTCAGGCCCTTTAGCCTCTCTTTGTAGGGCCCCACTGCTGCTTGACCATGCGAGTGGCCCTCCTCTGGACCCTCTCAATGCTAGCCACATCCCTCTTGAAGTGCAGTGCCCGGAACTGGACGCAGTACTCCAACTGTGGCCTGACCAATGCCACATAGAGGGGAAGGATCACCTCCCTGGACCTGCTTGTGATGCATCTGTAGATGCATGACAAGGTGCAGTTAGCCTTACCGACCGCTTCATCGCACTGGTGGCTCATGTTCATCCTGGAGTCAACGATGACTCCAAGATCTCTTTCAGCCACCGTGTTGACAAGAAGGGTGTTCCCCAGCCCATAGGTGTGTTGCTGGTTCCTTCTCCCTAGATGCAGTACCTTGCACTTGTATGTTTGCCTGGTAGATCACACATTAATCATGCAGATCAAATTCATCAAAGTTTAACACTTCCTTGCTGAGAACTAAACCTTGTTAATAGTGGAAACTTTCTACAAGTCTGCACTGGCTAAGTTTTCTGATTCTTGCATTTAGAAGCAACAGATAGCTGGGAGCCAATAAGCAAGACAGAGGAAAGGGACTTCTTCCTTGGTGCTCTTTGCCTTTAGTGAATCATCTGGTTCTATGCAAACATCTGGGAGCCATGTTTTCTTTGCCAATAGTTCTCTGTTACCCATTCCAAGAACTTACATAGATATGTACTAATACATATGTACTAATCTTAAACATATTTGCTCTTTACTCTAATTAAAGCACTGGACCAGTAAATGGGATGGAATTTAACAAATGAAATTAGTCTATAGTTCATTGAGTAGCATTGGTTTCTATCCAATAAATAATTACCTTATGTTTTCTATTTTTCTCCCCAGAACTCTTACTGAACAGCAGAATATTTACATTCCTAAAAGCAAACTAAATTTCATCTTCATGATTTTTTCTAAATGTCAAGAACACACCACAGAAATGTTACAGGCTTTTGTCTTAAAGGAAAACCTTTCCTTTCCCTTTTTGTGCTCTTGTGACAAGGTAGTTAGCAGAATTCACAGATGCGTTCGAATCTGACAGGCTGAACCATGAGCGCTTCTGCTTTGGCCTCAAACTTGAGACCTCTGAAAAGAAAAACCTGAAAGATAAAATTGCTTGGATCCTGTGTGCTAAGTTAATATCGCATATTAGTAGCTTTTCTTAAAGCAACAAAAGCTCTGGCTTTGGAATAACTGTGCAAGATAGGAATTATTGCAAATTTAAAGCTAAATGATTTTGAAAGAAAGACTGAAGTGAATTTTGCCCCGCGGGGGCCGCGCCGGGGAGCCGGCCCGCACAAGGGTCACCTCCCTGGACCTGCTTGAGATGCATCTGTAGATGCATGACAAGGTACGGTTAGCCTTACTGACCGCTTCCTTACATTGGCGGCTCATGTCCATCCTGGAGTCAACAATGACTCCCAAGATCCCTTTCTGCCACTGTTTTGACAAGAGGGGTGTTCCCCAGCCTATAGGTGTGTTGCTGGTTCCTTCTCCCTAGATGCAGCACCCTGTACTTGTCTGTGTTGAATTCCATCCTATTCTCATCTGCCCACCTCTGTAACCTGTCTAGATCTAGCTGGATTCTGTCCCTCCCCTCCAGTGTGCCCACCTTGCCCCACAATTCTTTGTGATCAGCGAATTTGGACAGTGTGCTTTCCACCCCCACATCCAGATCGCTGATAAAGATGTTGAACAGTACAGGCCCCAAGACCGAGCCCTGGGGGACTCCACTGCCCACATCCCTCCAGGTCAAAAATGACCCGTCCACCACCACTCTCTGGGTGCGACCATCTAGCCAATTTGCTACCCATCTGACTGTGTAGGCATCAATGCAGCAGTCACCTAGTTTTTTTATGAGAATAGGGTGAGAAACAGCGTCAAAGGCCTTCTTGAAGTCCAGGTAGACAACATCCACCTCAACACCCACATCCAAGGACTTTGTGACTTGGTTGTGAAAGGAAACAAGGTTAGTCAGGCAGGATCTGCCCACAGTGAACCCATGTTAGTTGCCCCTGAGCATTACCTCCCCTGCTGGGCCCTTGCAGATGTGCTCCTGGATAATTTTCTCAAAGGTCTTCCCAAGGACTGAGGTGAGACTCACTGGCCTGTAGTTGCCAGGGTCCTCCTTTCTCCCCTTTTTGTAAATGGGGACCACATTGGCCCTTTTCCAGTCCTCTGGGACCTGGCCAGAGCACCACAAGCACTCATACAGCTGTGCCAGGGGCCCTGCTATGACCTCCACCAATTCCCTCAGTACCCTCGGATAAAGAGCATCCGGACCTGCTGATTTAAACGCATCCAGCCCCTCCAGAAGTTCCCTAACTGGATTGTCCCTGACCCTAGGCATGGCGTTGTGTCCCCTGAGCCTGTCCGTAATCCAAGTAGGGGAGTTGTCCCGGTCCCTGCTCAGAAATATGGAGGCAAAGAACTCATTGAAGAGATCAGCTTTTTCCTTTGCTGCAATCACCAGATTGCCAAGCCTGATCCTACAATATAGGATCCATAATAGTAAAAGCATTCAAAATGTGTCATTTTTTAGCTCATCAATGCAGGAAAACCCAAGTCACTCCCAGGTAGTCTTACCTGACTTTTGCATTGGCTATCAGTGCTTTCTTAGGACAGCTTGTCTCCAAATAAAGAAACACTTCAATTTCGATGACTCCCAGCTTTCACTCACTCACTGGGTACTAGAGTCAGCAATAGAAAGTCAATAAGACAGCAACTTATTTGCATGCTTCTTTGCATATTTCTTTGGTGTACGATAGTTTTTGAGCAAATATGATCATTTTGAGCTTCCGATAGGATGATTTCTTATCTGGCAATGCTGGGGGCATAGGGACAAGGGAGCAGCTGCCTTCCCAGGTGGGGAGGAAGTGCTGCTCCCACCTCCAGGATCGGGGGGATAGCCCCTCTCTGCTTGACTGGGGCTGAGAGCAGGCCCCCTTCCCCCCCTCTTTCCTCGGGTCTGCGGGTTTTTTTCTTCACTGAGGTAAGGGGAGTGCATCTGCCTTTGCTGGGATCTGGAGTGGACCGGTACCCCATTGCAGGTGGGGTACAGCTCCCTCTTCATTGGGCAGGGGATAAAGGGAACAGGCCTTGAGTGAGGAGCTTGGACGTGCCCTTAGTAGGGGAAGTTAATGCTCTGGGGAAAGGTTTGGGGAACACAGTGCAGGTCTATGCAAGAGCAAGCTCCAAGCCACTGTGTTCTTAAAAAGACCAGTGAATTCCCAAGAGTTGACTCCGGGTGCTTCTATGGGTCTGGTGCCTTCAAAGGGCATGGTGGAAGGATATGCCATATAGTGAGGGAAGTCTGGAGGTGTCTGCGCTTTGCAGAGCTGACCCTGTCTGGAGCATCCCGCAATGCAGAACCAGCCCATATCTTTACTACTCTGGCTGGAGCAAGACTGCTCAGTCGATGGCTGAGTACAGCTGTGGGGCAGTGAATGTCCATGGTGGGTGTTTGGCTGTTGAGCAACTGTAAAGCAAAACCAGGACTATGCCTGCTGGCCAAAGACTTTATTCTCCCCTGCTCCCATGTGTGATAATGTCTTTGTCCTGCTTATGATCTCTGCACTGGATCAACCCTGGGCTTTGGGGAAAAGGAAGTCAGCTATTTTTTAGAAAGGCTTTGTCCGTTGTTCCCTTAGCTGCATCCATTTTTCAATATGGTGATATTGGCCTACATTAGGCGTTTAATGGCCCTGTCCAGATTGCTGCATAGCTTAATAGAAAAAGGGGAGCAGGAGGCATTTTGAAACCTTTTAACCTGGCCTTTGAACAGGTCAAACAGGTTGGATATTGCACCTGCCTTGGATATCTTAATCGTGACTTTCCCCTGTCTTCAGCTTGTGTTGCCTCACCTGTAGAGCCTCTGGCAGTGAGTGATTTCCCCCCATAACTGCCCGGTACACTACACTTCATTGCAAGAATCTCCCATACTTTATGCAAGCCCAAAAAAGGAAAGATAGAAATATTAGTTGTGTTATGTTCTCAAACGTCATGACTGTCATAATGACTGCCTAGTCCACAACCTCTGTGTCAAAATGTGAAGGTCCAGAATATTAGCTTCCATTGCAGCTCCATATTGGGTGTTGTTGTTATAAGTCTGCTTATGTAAAATGCAGTATAGGAAAGCCTGCAATGGCTTTGTGCTTGCAAATTCAGGTGTATTCTCCACATTGCCTCCACCAGAGAGGAGCTAGGTTCCTTCCTTGGCATCAGGGGCGGCAGCTTTTGGATTTCCTAGAACCGAAGCATCAAACAGAGCTGATGGGCTAGATCTGGCCCATGGGTGTTGGACCAACTCTGCATGCAACATGTGGAGCTGATTTGGCTTAGGGGCTGGACTCCAAGCAGCAGGCAGTGCCCGTGGCACACCACTGGTCTGGGATACAATCTGTGTTTGGCACCTGCACCAGACCAACCCTGTGCATTGGCTCTGGGGCTGATCTGGTTTCAGCAGTGCCAGAGTCCATGCGTAAGGCTGTCTGGTGGGGTACCATGTGTGGCATATGCCCTGTGGCAGCCCCCGTGGTGTGAGTAGTGCCCGTG